CTTCTACATGTATATGTAGATGGCCGTGGTTATACTCGGACAAGATAATACAAAGATACATATTCATATTATTTGTTATAAATTCAATTTTCAGAACTTGATATTTAAGTAATATGCTGTTATAGTTTTTATTAAACAGACAAATGAGAGAGAGAGAGAGAGAGAGAGAGAGAGAGAGAGAGAGAGAGAGAGAGAGAGAGAGAGAGAGAGAGAGAATATTCCGTTTTAATCCCACCCCCCTCCTTTCAGACTTCAATAAATGTTTGTACCTATATCAAACAAAAACTCTGATTTTTTTTCTAAATACATCAAACAGAGAAAGTAACATTTTTAAAATCAACAAATTATATCCATTTGTTTGGCAGTCATACTCGTTTTTATGTTCCTGCTTCGATTTCACACGAAGTCCACGTGCTTGTCCTGTCAATCAAAATCATTCGACACTGTGCAGGTGTGAAAGTTTCGTCACATCGAAGACGGAGTACGAGTATTTCCAACAAGTTATAACATTTATTTTTATCATTTCTAGATTTGATTCCAACATTTGAATAATAAATGAATAAAATACATTGGGCATTAACACTTGAATTTGATACATACTCTCTGCCAATTTGAAATACCACCGCCGACACGTGTACATTTTGAACTACAGTAACTATTGTTTTGTGACTTTTTTAGATGCATGTTTGTTTTGAGACTGAAATTTTTGTTCTAAAAAAGACCTTAACTTTCTTTAAAAAATGTTAATTAAAATATTCTGGAAATGAAGTACTGACTAAGTAACCGATTTAGGGGGAAAGGGGGGGGGGGGTATTAATCATATCGAATGACAAACATATAAAGTTACGGTGAAGAGAGAATTTTTTCTCTATAACTATAGACTTTACACATTATAGTAGAGAAAATTCTGTAGTGCAGTACATTTTAAATAAATATTTCCTTTAACCACACTATCAATTTAATTCGCTCCAAAGATAATAAACAGGACATCCGCAGTACTATGTATAACTCTCAGAACTAGTTCTATCATATTTTTTGTAGTAATTAAAAAAACGTGTTAGAAATAAATATTTTCGTAATTTTGCTGCGTAATTATTTGACTTGGATAATTATATCACCATTAACGATTTGTCGTCTTTAACAAAACAACAAAATTTTGCAGTGCTTGAAGTATTTGCACATTGCCCTTAGTTAAATTTAATATTTCAGCATCGTTCTACATAGGTACAGAATGTGCTTATAACAACATTTACTTTCCAGTAATTTAATAAATAACCTAACAGTTAAGTTAGAATAATAAAAATATATATCGTAGATATTTTTCCCCATGAAATAATTATTCTTCAAACACGATATGTTAGTTATTAAATTAAAAAACCTGTAACTCCTTCCCTACAAAAAGATAAGTCCTTTCACTTCGGAGTTCCGAATGACAATGAAAACTGAACGATAGGTGAACGCTGAACGCAAGGTGAACGCAAAGTGAACGGAACGAAGAGCGAACGCTGAACGCTTTGTGAACGGTGAACGCGAGCGCACGGTGAACGGTGAACGCAAAACTGTGAACGGAGAGCGAACGGTGAACGCACGGTGAACGAACGGTGAACGCACGCTGAACGAACGGTGAACGAACGGTGAGCGAACGGAAAAATGCGAAAGTAGAACGTTTCAGGGACTGTAGGTATGCTGAGTCGTAATTGTGCATATTTCTGTTGATTTAAATACACTCTTTCTACTATAGAATATCATTTTGAGGATAACTCAAATGGAAACTTTGTAATTTTTCTTTAAGAAGACAATAAAGGCACGTGTAACTTTCCTTCAAAAATATCAAATAACAAAAGCCCTGTATGTTTGTACATGTAAGAGGATATTTTTAAATGCGGTTTAAACTCAGGGGAGAGTACCCCTACTTGGTATGATATTATACAATTATTGCTGTTTTTGAGGTCAATCCAGGGATTATGCCACCTGAGAACTAAAATTTTCACCGAACCAAAAAGGCATGGTGAACTTTGTACTACGGAGGTGGCATCCTCACAATGTCAAGGTTTTGTGATTTCGGAACTCCACACAAACCCTTGACATAAGTCGTTATTTAAAAGTTGGGCTTGCGGTTACATATGACGTAATGGGTAATTATAAACTAACCAATGAGAATTCATTCTTCAAATCCGACGTTATCAAATTGCTCAACTCCAGAGCACATCTTTTGTGATTGTAAGGAGGACAATATTCAAAATATTAATCCCCGATGTTAATCATTTGAAGTAACTTTCAAAAATCCTACAATATTGACACTTACCATTTTAAAGACGAGTCATATTTGTTTTCAAAACTTACCGATTATAAAAGCTGTTTTGTGATTGGTTCCAGTCCTAGACCAGGAACAAATGAAATAGTAGCTTCTAGACCCAACTTTGAAATAGCGACTTATGTCAAGGGTTTGTGTGGAGTTCCGAAATCACAAAACCTTGACATTGTGAGGATGCGGAGGTGGTTAAATCATCTTTTTGACTTAAAAAAAATCCAGAAATTATTGTTTTATGATATGATTTAATGATTAAATGATTAGCAGTTTATGTCATCTTACGTGTTGACATTTGTTGAAGCCCTAGCCAAATGCAATAAGAGAAGCAGGGTTAAATAAATATTATCAGTCGTATTAATTAGGATTTTTTTAATCTACTTTAGTTGCTATGAAAAAAAATCGCATAATGTAATGCTCTTTTATAGGATCGATTTTAAAAGGGAGGGGTGGGGGCATTATCAGAAAAAAATATGACAGCTGAAAAACAATCTTTGACTAGCCCCCACAAAAAGAGAATTTCTTAACTTCAAATTTTGTTTTGGGGTTTGGGTGGGGTTAGGAATGGGAGATTAAGGTCCCTTAGTGGGGACCAGCCTTTCAGTACATATTCTTAGTCTAAATTAAAAGTAAAAAATTACGTTCAGAAAAAAAGTTTTCGGGGGTGTTCTCTGCAACCCCCTCCCCAAAAACCACCCCACCCCCAAAAATATATTCACTAATGTTATGTTCCTGAAGTAAGTTGAAGTCGGTAGCAGGTGAAATAGCTTTCCAAAACTATTTGTATCAAATTAGAATTCCTGATTTATTTTTAGACCAACATAGAGAAAATAAATCCTTATATTCACCTGGAAGGTCAGGTGCAGATGCATATAGCGTACTATTATTTCTACATTGTTGGATCCCAGCCAATCAGAGAGATAGTAATGATTCAATCATATAATATTTATATTTATTTGTTGTCTTGTCTCCTTTAGTCGCATCTTGTGATATATAAAGATTTAAAAAGGCATTTCTAATGGCAATCAGGCAATTTTTTCCAGTAAACATATATGAATGTTTATCATACAAACGTTTCCTTCATCTTATGGCCTAATTTATCTACTTGCAAAGTCAATGTTGTCCTTAGTAGGAATGATGATGTCCAATTTTCATAATTCTTTTAAATAATATATTTATGATTTAGAAATTAAATAAAGCGTGTATTTTTTTCAGTAAGATATAATTAAATTCTACCTTACCCGAAATCGATGTTTCCCATTCACTATATTGACCAGCAACTACAACGACACAAAAAAAATAAAAAAAAATAAGAAACGTAATTTTCATGATTCCAGTGTTTTAAAGTCCTTCTTTTTTTATTTGTTGTATAAAATTTGACTTAAGCACTAACGTTTATTAAAAGCATTAAAATACTCTCTATGACTAATTTTCTTTAATTTGCGTTGTACTCAAAATGTATTTAGAATTAAATCTGACTTATAACCCTGAAACATATAGGGATCTTCTATGACACATGTGCGCCATCTAAATGTATCATCGTAAAGATTTCATTTAAAAAAGTACAGTGCGATTTATAGCTTTTTTAAAAAAAAAAAAAATTGAAGATTGATTTTGAGAGATATAAGCACATTTCTATGTAAAAGTTTGATTGTCTATTGTCCCCACCCTACCTCTGGAGGTCATAGTTTGATGAAACTTGAAAAGTGCCTGATGATGCTTCTCTACTAACATAACTTATCATGATTTTGCTTTTCTTGAGGAAAAAAGATTTTTAAAGACATTTTCTTTTAATTCCTATGTGTAACTTGTATCCCCCCCCCCCCCGAGTCATTATTTGAAAAAAAAGTTGAATCTTGAATACTTGAGGATACATCTTTATTGATATGACTAATAATAGATTTGCTCCTAGATATTCCTTTGTTTAATTTCCATCCCTTGTTATGGCCCCACCCTTCCCAAGGTGATCATGATTTGAATCAATTTAAATGTTCACTATATAATTAATCTTTCACATACGTTTCATTTTGTCTGACACAGTGCGTCTTGAGAAGATTTTTAAACAGGTTTTAAACAAGAGGCCCATGGGTAACACTCGAGTCACTAGGGACCTACAGTTATTCAAAGGTAGATTTTTTTTCCCTATGAAAAACATAGATTGCCTATTTTGGCTTTACCCTACTGTACCCCTTGGAGTCATATTTTGGGAAAACCCTAAGCTACACTATCTGAGGATGATTTTAAATTAATATGACACATCATGCCTTGGCATTCTTGAGATTTTTTCCTATATATTCCTATTTTTAAAAACATTATCACCTTTTGTGGCTCCAACCTGCTTGGGCATCATGTCTTGAATAAATTAAATCTATACAATCTGAGGATGCTTCTATACAAATCAGTCTACCGGTATTAGTACCTTAACTGTTTGTACTTTATATTCTTATGTTACACTTAGATCGCCTCACATGAACCCTGGGGTCAAGATTGGAAGAAATGCAAAACTGCACAATGTAATGAAGCAGATTTTTCTCAATATAAATTCTAAAGACATGAAAATATTAAAAAATAGACAGAACACTCCCCGTCTGAAATCTCAAGATTTCACTATCAAAATTACAAACTATTAAGAGCATTACAAAAATCAATAATCTCTCGACAATAATCTCAGTCTGTCAACACATTCTCCGACTTATACGATTTCACTTTCAACGAGAAGTATCATGTCAACGACTGGTCTGATATACACTGTAGGCTTTCCATTCACAATGGTACGAATTTCAGCTTTTCGCATATGATCATCAGAACTCTTGAAGGCTTTCACAACTAAGCCAATAGGCCAGCAGTTCTGTTCAACAGTCTTGTCTTTTATAAGAACTACATCTCCTTCTGCTATGTCACGTTGATTCTTGGTCCACTTCCTACGACTCTGAAGTAGCGGTAGATACTCCTTCTTCCAACGAGACCAGAATACACTAGCTAAAGCTTGAACACGTCTCCATTCAGCCTTGAACATGTCTCGACCACCAAATTCTCCTAGTGAATTGGCCTTGAACTCATACTCGGTCTTCTGTGTCAATAGCATTGCTGGGGTCAGAATCAATGGGGAATCTGGGTCAGTGGATATCGGAACAAGAGGTCTTGAATTAATGATTGCACAGACCTCCGCCATAAATGTGTTCAGCACATCATGCGTTAAGGTCTTTCCACTGGCATCAGTCAGCATTGAATTGAGGATCTTACGGGTAATACCGATCATTCTTTCCCATGCCCCACCCATGTGGGATGCATGGGGCGGATTGAAGATCCATACAGTACCAGAATTGTGTAGATACTTCTTCAAGGGTGCATCGTTGACGTATATGGCATCAATGCGCAAGTCATCTACGGCCCCAAACAAAGTTAGTGCCTTGGTCAGAACGGAAAGTCTTTACCTGACCCCTTATGGCAGTGAATCTTCTGACAGCATTGATAAATGCAGATGAACTCATTTCCTCAACTAGTTCAATATGAACAGCCCTTGTGGTTAAGCATGTGAACAATATTCCCCAGCACTTGGAATTGGCACTACCTCCTCGAGTCTTACGTGAAACTACAGCCCAAGGTCCGAATGCATCTACACCTACGTTTGTGAAAGGTGGCGATGGGTCAAGGCGGTCTGCAGGTAGATCAGCCATGATCTGATACTGCGTCTTCCCTCTGAGTTTTCTGCACGTGATACATTTATGAATAATCGATGAGACAAGTCGTTTGGCCCCTGTTATCCAAAGTCCAGCAGCCCTAATAGCTCCTTCGGTGAAGTGACGCCCTTGGTGCTTGACATTCTCGTGATATTGTCGAACCAGTAGGGATGCTATGTGATGGCGTCCAGGTATAATCAATGGTTTCTTCTCTCGCAAAGTCAATCTCGTCACAGTACACCTCAGACTGCACCATCCGGATCACAAAGTGCTCTGTGTCTTGGTATCTTTCAGTTACTGTGTTAGAATCAACATCTTTGCCTTGAAACTTGAAAGGCATGTATCTGAGAAAGTTCATGGCCAACACAAGTTTCCTCCAGTCAGAAAATCGCTGGAATCGTTGAGTCATTGCAGTGTATGGTTGTCCACCATCTTCGTCTGCAGTGCAGATTTTCATTGCTGAAACAATAGGGCGAATCTCTTTATCTTCATCTGGCTTAATGAGTAAATGTTCATTCTCATTTTGTTCCTCCTGTTTTATAACAAGAAGTTGTTTTGGTCCTTGTAACCAAGTGCTGTCTTGAAGCTCATGTGCAGGTAGACATCTCGTTGCTAAATCTGCAGGGTTATGATCAGTAGACACGTAATTCCACTGGCTTGGAGTAGTAAACTTCCTTATGCCGTCTACTCTGTTGGCAACATAGATATAGAATCTCCTAGACTCATTACAGATGTAGCCGAGGACTACTTTGCTATCAGTGTAATACTTCACAGAGTCTATTTGTATGCCCAGGTGATTCAGAACACACTGTGCAATCTCCACCGCCAACACAGATGCACATAATTCCAATCGTGGGATAGTGTGTCCACTTATGGGTGCAACTTTAGCCTTTCCCAACACGAATCCAACTTTGCACTGTCCATCACTATCGGTTGTGCGCAAATAAACGACAGCTGCTATGGCCTTTTCAGATGCGTCACTGTACACATGAAGTTCTTTCGTCACTGCTTTGCTGAGATCTGTCACATATGTCCGTGGAATACGCAGAGCTTCAAGTGCATCTAAGGTATCCTTCCAAGAATTCCATAGAGATGTTAGTTCTTCAGAGAGGGGCTCGTCCCAGTCTTGAGTCTGTGCTATCAGTTGCCTGAGTAGGAGTTTACCATAGATAGTCACTGGTGCTAAAAAGCCTAGAGGGTCATAAATCCCATTGACAGTTGAAAGTAAACCTCTTCGTGTGGCAGGTTTATTGTCTTTTGATAGTTGGAACAGAAAGGTGTCATTGTTTACATCCCAGCTTAGACCAAGGCTTCGCTGCAGAGGCATGTCCTCTCCTTGTAAATCCAAGTCTTTCAGATTTGTTGCTAGGTCTTCAACTGGAAAGGCTGACATTACTTCAGGACTGTTAGAGGCAAATTTATGAAGCCGGAGATTACCATATCCCTTCAAGGCACTCTGAGTGTCCTTGAGAATGCGAACAGCTTCTGCAGTGGTTGGACAGGAAGTCAACCCATCATCAACGTAAAAGTCATTTTTTACGAAATTGGTAACGTGATCTCCATAGTTCGGTTCTGCTGCTTCAGCTGCCTTTCTGAGTCCAAGTGTTGCTACAGCAGGTGAGGGCCGGTTACCAAAGACATGGACCCTCATCCTATACTCAATGATTTCTTTGTCAAGGTCGTTATCCTTGTGCCACAAAAATCTTAAAAAGTTGCGATGATCCTCTCTTACTAAGAAACAGTGAAACATATGTTGCACATCGGCAGTCACAGCAACCATTTCCTTGCGAAATCTTAAAAGAATGCCAAGCAGGCTGTTTGATAAATCAGGTCCTGAAAGAAGGACTTCATTTAGGGAAACTCCCTCAAATTTAGCCGATGAGTCGAACACGCCCCTAATCTGATCTGGTTTTTTGTGATGATAAACACCAAATAGGGGCAGAAACCAACATTCATCTCCATCAGACAACTTTGGGGCAACTTCTGCATGATGATTGTCCAGAATCGTAGCCATGAATGTAAGAAAGTGTCCTTTTTTCACAGGGTTCTTCTTAAGGCTTACATCAAGAAGTTTAGCACGCTGAACGGCTTGCTGTTTGTTGTTCGGTAACCGCTGTCGATTCTCCCGAAAGGGCAGTGGGGCCACCCAACTTCCTGAAGGGTCTCTGATAAATTCACTATCCATCTGTTGCAAGAACATTTTATCCTTTATTGACATGCCTTGTTCATCGTCGTCCTTCGTCCTGATAAATAGCTGCGACTCATCAGACAAAGACTGACCTATAAGTTCTCGTACCTCAAACTTGTTGCTGCATGGCTTCATGGTTGAAGGCTGACCAGTTGGTAGAAGGTAAGTTTTCTTTACACTTAGATCACGTGAGGCATGTTGCATGTTGAGACAAGTTTCTCCAATGACAACCCAGCTAAGTTTGAGTTGTTGTGCATAAGGAGCTTTCGGTGGACCAAAGATCTGATGTAGAACATGATGGGCCTCTATCAAATCGCGTCCTATCAGCAAAAGAATGTGACATTCATCATCAAGTTGTTGAAGGTGCCCAGCAATTTCTGTGAGATGTTCATGATGGAGTGTGACTTCAGGTGTTGGTATTTCATCTCGATTGTTTGGTATATGGTCGCACTCAATCAAGGTTGGTAGTTCAAAGTCTACATTGCCTTCTATTGATCTAACAATGAACCCCTTTCCTCTTCTTCCAGAAGTTACAACTTTGCCAGAACAGGTTGATATGGTGTAGTTCTGTGGTTTATCCTTCACACAAAACAACCTAAAGAATTCTGGGGAGGCTAATGAGCGGTTGCTCTGATCATCAATTACTGCGTACATCTTCACCGACTTGTGTGGATTGTCAAGATGAAACACATGAACGGGCAAGATCTTGGCACACGACTTTCCACTGTAAGGTTCTCTGCCTATCTCGGTGCAGCTTGAGTTGACCTCTGACACAGTGTTGGACCTCATGTTACCCCTCGACTCCCCGCCGTTCTCCTTTAATGATGAATTAGGAGTGCATTTGGTTTCCTCCCCGCCATTCGCTTGATGAGTTGCATTAGAATCCATAGAAACCACTTTGTCATTTCTGGTAAGGTGCAGAGCGGTTGTATGATGCTTGCTTCCACATTCCTTGCATGAGATAACAGCATTGCATTCGCGACTTTTGTGAGTGTTAGAAGCACAACATCTGAAGCATATGTTGTTTTCTTTCAAGAGTCTCTTCCTTTCCTCTACCGACTTGGACCGGAATCCTCTACAGTCCTCTAAAGTATGTTTGGTTTTGTGGATGACACAACGTTCAAGTGGAGCAGTTACGTCGACACCTGTCTTGTTCACATTGACCTTGTTTCTTGCGTAACTTAATAGTTTTGGAGCAGCAAATTTGTTGGTGCTGTTTGTGTCTGGCTCATAGTTGAATCCTGGGTTATTTTTCACCTTGCTTATATCCTTTATGAATTCTACGAAGACTTGAAATGGAGGAAATATAGCTCTGTGTTCCTTCTTATATTTCACAGCTCTATTAGTCCATTTTTCTTGTAAACTGTATGGTAGTTTGGATATAATTGTCTTTATCCCTGATGACGAATCAAGATATGCTAGCATAGCACTGTATTTGGGGTCTTCTTTTAAGAACAGCATTTCCATGAGAATGTCTGAAAGATCATAGAGCTTCTGATAATCCTTATTACCGAGCTTTGGAAAGTTTTGAAGTTTTGCCCTTATCGATGCTTCAATATGTTATGGCGCACCATAGCGTTCATCTAACCTTTCCCACAGCCTCTGTAGTCCTCTAGGAATGTTGGTTATGTTCGATGTCCTGATACTGATAGCATGCTTCTTTGATTCAGGCCCCAAATACTTGATAAGGAGATCCATCTGCTCTGAGTCCATCACTTGAAGTTCATTTGTGACACACAAAAAACTGTGTTTCCATGCACTATAGGATTCAGGCCTATCGTTAAAAGTTGTTAGTCGAGAGAACAGTAGATCCTTTCTTAGTAAGAAACGAGTGACATCGGTCACATGTGTCTCTTGCTGTGTCATGTAAGGTGATTGAAGGCACGAGGTAGGCCTGTATGATTGTGCATACGGATTCAGTGTAGAAGGAATGTGGTCCAACGTAGGTTCTGAAGGGAAATGTCCAAGTGTAGGTTGACCAGAATAAATATTTTGGCTGGTACTTGAGTAGTGTTTCAGTTTTTGGTAGTTGAGGCCATCCGGTGAAACTGGTCGACTGGAGACCTGTGAAATATGGTTGATTGTTGATTCAAATGCCTGACACTCTGCTTCTGCCTCTGCTGCTTCCCTTTTGAGATTTATCGTTTCTAGTTCTGCTTCAAGTTCCATTTGTTGTTTGCGTAATGTCATTTCTTTAGCTGCATACAACATCCTGGCTTTCGCTTTACCCACTTCAGCCCTCTTCTTAGCAAGAATGTCTGAAGTTAAAACACTGGATGAAGAATGTACACTTAGATGCTCACTTTCTGTGTTCTCCTCTTCATATCCTCGATAATCTAGAAAATCATCCTCCTTTTCACTGTTGCTGGATGTAGATTTCTTTTCAGTGTTTATAGTGTCTGTAACAGAATCTGGTATTGACATGGTTTTGGCGTGCTGAATGTCCAAAGTTGAATCTGGAACAGATGACGACTTGACCTGCTCAGTGTCCACAGTAGAATCTGGAATGGACAATGACTTAACCTGCTGAGAGTCCATAGAGGAGTCTGGAATGAACGCTGTTTTGGCTTGTTGAGTGGAGTCTGGACTTCTTGTCCCGGTCTGTACTGCTGTAGTAGACATGGTCTTTTTACTATTCTGCCACAATAAAAAGTCTCTCAGTTCCTTTAGAAAGTTTTATTTGACAGGTAGTTAACCCTCACTTGCATGTGCAAGTGCGCATGTGAACGTGCGTCTGGTAAAAAGCTACAATAAAACAAAACCAAAGTAAGTAATGACAGGTACTGCTTTCCATAGAAAAATTTCTCAAAACTGGATTCACATAATGTGAACAAATTACACAGACAAGTAATATCTCTAGTAAATCATAAACTACCTATACTCTGATCAACTGTATCAAATTCCATGTATAAAATATATTTTTAAGAGAAATACAGACTTAATTACTATCGACTATAAATAATGACAAGAATAGCACCCCATACTTTAAGCACATGGCACAAACATTATCTAAAATTATGCAGAATTGTAACAATTAGCAAAGCTGACATTAGAGATATAGGTGAGCGATAACATAATCTGAAGAATAAACAATGTGTTAAAACTTTAAACTACTTACACCGTGGATTACGAACATTCAACCGGGAGTAAAAACTCGCCGTGACAGTATGGCGGCACAAACACAGGAAATTAACTTGTACTTAAACACATTCAATAAAAATTCGTATTGCACTCGGTCTAACTGACGTAATAGTACAACATAAATTCTAAAGACATGAAAATATTAAAAAATAGACAGAACATACACTATCTGAGGATGCTTCCATATAAATATTACAAACAGTGGCTTTGCTGTTCTTGAGAAGATTTTTAAAGATTTTTCCTATATATTCCTATGTAAAACTTTGATCGTTCATTGTGGCCCCACCCTACCCCTGGGGGTCATGATTTGAGCAAACTTGAATCTACACCACCTGAGGATGCTTCCATATAAATATGTCCAATCATAGCTTTGCTGTTCTTGAGAAGAAGATTTTTGAAGATTACATAGGAAAACATAAGAAAAATCTTCTTCTCAAGAACAGCAAAACTATGATTGGTCATATTTATGTGGAAGCATCCTCAGGTGGTGTAGATTCAAGTTTCTTTAAATCATGACCCCCAGGGGTAGGGTGGGGCCACAATGGACGATCAAAGTTTAACATAGGTATATATAGGAAAAATCTTTAAAAAAAATCTTCTTCTCAAGAACAGCAAAGCTATGATTGGACATATTTATATGGAAGCATCCTCAGGTGGTGTAGATTCAAGTTTGCTCAAATCATGACCCCCAGGGGTAGGGTGGGGCCACAATGAACGATCAAAGTTTTACATAGGAATATATAGGAAAAATCTTTAAAAATCTTCTCAAGAACAGCAAAGCCACTGTTTGTAATATTTATATGGAAGCATCCTCAGATAGTGTATGTTCTGTCTATTTTTTAATATTTTCATGTCTTTAGAATTTATGTTGTACTATTACGTCAGTTAGACCGAGTGCAATACGAATTTTTATTGAATGTGTTTAAGTACAAGTTAATTTCCTGTGTTTGTGCCGCCATACTGTCACGGCGAGTTTTTACTCCCGGTTGAATGTTCGTAATCCACGGTGTAAGTAGTTTAAAGTTTTAACACATTGTTTATTCTTCAGATTATGTTATCGCTCACCTATATCTCTAATGTCAGCTTTGCTAATTGTTACAATTCTGCATAATTTTAGATAATGTTTGTGCCATGTGCTTAAAGTATGGGGTGCTATTCTTGTCATTATTTATAGTCGATAGTAATTAAGTCTGTATTTCTCTTAAAAATATATTTTATACATGGAATTTGATACAGTTGATCAGAGTATAGGTAGTTTATGATTTACTAGAGATATTACTTGTCTGTGTAATTTGTTCACATTATGTGAATCCAGTTTTGAGAAATTTTTCTATGGAAAGCAGTACCTGTCATTACTTACTTTGGTTTTGTTTTATTGTAGCTTTTTACCAGACGCACGTTCACATGCGCACTTGCACATGCAAGTGAGGGTTAACTACCTGTCAAATAAAACTTTCTAAAGGAACTGAGAGACTTTTTATTGTGGCAGAATAGTGTAGATTCAAGTTTGTTCAAATCATGACCTCCAGGGGTAGGGTGGGGCCACAATGAAAGTTCAAACTTGTAGAGAAAAATGTCACAGTCAAAAAATTATGTAAGCATCCTTAAGTAAGTGTAGATTTAATTTTGTTCAAATCATACCCCCACTCCCTTTAAGGGTACATGTAGGTTGGGACTACTTATGTGCTTTTCAATACTAAACTGATTTTTCTTTTTTCCTAGCCACAGTGCTCAGGTGAGCGATGTGGCCCCTGGGCCTCTTGTTTTATATATCGTACTTATTTTTTTTAAGTTGTGTGTTGGGGTGGGATGGGGTGGAGATTCACAGTTGGTTTGCCTTATAATACATTGTATGTACATTATTATATGGAAAAAAAAATTCTAATTGTTTTGAATACCCACTCCATATTTTTTATTAATATGTACGACCATACCATTTGTATAACGAATTGGTGATTCAAAAAACTTGTGTGTGTGTGTGGAACTATGCTTTTTTAACTATAATGAATAGTGGTTCAGTTGCGAATTTGATCGCGAAAATGCCGCGAAAATTAGTGATTCACCTAAAGTCTGCAACACAGTAAAATTTCAAATGATGGAGAATCCTGAAAATATTAGGGGGAAAAACAGAAAATTTGTGGACGGAAGAATGACAGACGGACAGCTAAACAGACTGACGACAGGTAGACAGAAAAAAGTGATTACTATAGGGCACCTGCAAATCCCTGCAAAGTCCTAATTAATAACCGTAAATGTCAAATTTCATAAACGATTTATACAAAGATATTTTATATTACATAATACAAAATGTATTTTTTTAGTTCTTAGTGGTCAGGTACACTTGTAATTAAAAAAAATTAGACAAAATACCTTATCTTTGTGGATTTACAAATGTCCTCTTAATCAGAGACCAGGAATGATCAATGTGAGAGAGCATGAGATGGTTCTATAAATAGTGCTCAAGCACTATTGTTTTCTTTTGTTTACAAGATACATGTGACAATTGGGGGCAGGTGCAGATAAGTAAATAGATCTATTTAAGATTTATTATATATTAAGGAATATTATACTCTTGCTTATAGGCAACATAGCTTCATTTATCATTTTCTTGTGAGTCATTCCTCTATGAATTATACTCAGGTGGCTTTCAAGGCCCTTAGGCCTCTTCTTTAACTTAATTTGGCCTGTGAGAACGAAGTCAATTGGGCCTTCAATAGTCTAAAGGGATAAAGGATATTGAAGTTCATTACAATTGCGTAAGTACTTTCAGAGATATCACCTGGAAACAACAGTTTTATTTTACGAACAGATATAACGGCAGCTAGTCATAGGGAGGTAGGGAAAGAAAAAAAATAATATACCCGCTTTTAGTGGAGGAAATAAGTTTGTTGAAGCTTTCAGACTTATAGATAATAAAAATAACAATAATTCTTAAATGAAAATGAAAATTGATCTAAACAAGATGTGTTTGTGAAACACTGATGCCCCCGTATGGCAACTTATAGCAAAGGTTAAACTTTCTCAAATGCAAATCAAATATGTTGGTACCTAAAGTAAGGTCTTGTCTCGAGGAATATACCTGTGAAATATGAAAGCCCTAGCAGCAACCATTGAATAGATATAGAAAATGTTAAAGTTTTTGAAAAGTAAGTCAAACATCAAGGTCAAGGTCAAATGGTCAATATTAATGGTGCCTTAGAAAAGGCCTTCTCACAAGAAATTTACAGGTGAAAAATGAAAACTGAAGCACCAATCGTTCAAAAGTTATGGCCAAGGTTTTAGTTTTTCAAAAGTAGGCCAAACTCCAAGGTCATGGTCAAAGGGTC